AAAATCTTAATCTTATATTACTCATATAAATCATCATCGCTGTTTCATATAATCGAGTCTCATATTTAAATTATGCTTGTTATTTTTATTTTGTTAGTCGATGTATCTATATACAGTATAATATTCTTTAGCAAAATTATGAATAAAATATTTAGAAATTATTCTATCAATAATTATTATACTGTAATTTATAACATTATGTGTAAGATGAAACGCATAATGTCATAAATGTTCACTGTTCATTCATAAATACGGTACTTAATTATTGAAAGTTAAGCCATAGTCTATCTTAATTTAAATACGATTTACTACTTATAAGTTATAACTTATAAGTGATTTAAGATGTTTATTACAAATATCAAAACGACACCTATTGTGATCCGATGTGATCAATATAATAAGTCCCAATTTAATTATTATAAAAACACAAATCAATCTCATCCACATTATTTATTATAATTTCGTTTACTGTAAATATAATTTATATTTAATTTAAAAAGTATTATTATTATGGCAATTAATATACCTGTACAAGTACCTATGAATATTGAAAACAGAGATATTTCAAGAGCAATAGAAACACTAGTCTAAAATTACAGCAACATTTTAATATCATTTTCTTAGTTTATATCAAACAATCTTATGGCACAATACAGTATTATCAGATATTCCAGAAATTGAGTTTAATCATAATTGAATAACCAACCAAACCATGTTCAAAAATAATTTTGTATAAGGTAAACATTGTAACTGCAAATTACCTATAACGATATACTGTACACTACTCTAAAATATCATACTCAATTATAAAACACATTTACAATCACTTTCATTGAAATATATTTTATTAAAATGATAGGTATTGCCGTAAATCATATTTAACACAAATATTACTAATAGGGTATAAACATGTTTGTTATATAGATTTATTTAGAGATTTAAGTCTCAAATTCTATAAAGTATTATTAAATACAAACCTATTTCAGAGTTTCAATTGTATTTAAAAATAACTAAAATATAAGACATTGTAATAAAATATGAAATTTGAGGCTTTATTGTTGTGTTTTAGGGTTACGACAGCCAACTATTCTCACATAATTGGCTGGAATGAGACCCACTTTCTGGCCATCAATTGTCGCTAATAGCCATCCCCTCACTCTCGGCTGT